GGAGCTCTGGATCTGGCCCTGTATCCCCCTCCCACAGGTGCCTCTGGGTCTGTGGCTGATGTGCCTTGGACTTTGCCATAGCAAACTCTTCTTGAAGGTGGGAATTCCCTTTGGGGATTTTCAGGCACAGGGTGGACAGGCAGCTTTTCAGTACAAGTCAGACTCGGTTTGATGCCAGAGATCAGGACTTCAGCTGGGCAAAGTTCAGTTTATTAAGTTCACATCTTCTGTCAGGAGCCTCCAGGTGGGATTTTAGACTGTGAAGCAGCTGACTGACTTTTCAAGTGAAGTTTCCCAGCTCTCTTGGAGTCGTCTCCAAGCCTCTTTTAGGTTCCTTTACAACTCTCTACCACTGTGTTTATTCATCCCAAGGCCTTTGAATTCACTGGTAATGGTTTCCTTTGTTAGGAGCAAATCTCCACCCAGGCTATGAGCTTGTCTCTGGAGGGGGGAAAAGAAGGCTGTCTCCTCCAGCACAGCCCTGTTTGTATTTGCACTTTTAGATTAAATGATCTGAGCCACCTGCACCTAATCCAAGCTCAGGGGAGAGGCTAAACTGCCCACACCTGTGCCAGCATCCTGATCAAATGCCACCTGGGGTATTTATACCATAGTGGTGAGTGCCAGAGCTCTTTGCTGCTGGTCAGAGCTGCCTCAGGGAGCTGGAGTTTCCAAAACCTATGGAAGTGGTCACGGCCCCAAGCCTGCCAGAGTTCCAGGAGCGTTTGGACCATGCTCTCAGGTACACGGTGGGATTTTTGGGGTTGTCCTGTGTGGAGCCAGGGGTTAGACCCTGTGAACCCATCCAGCTCGGGATATTCTGTGATTCCATGGGTGTGGGGTGGCTCTGCAGGTGATGGTGGCCATGGAATGTCCTGGTGCTGTGGGAGGTGGGCAGTGCTTGGCACAGTGCTGGCACACACTGCTTTGGTGCTGGTCACTAGGAGAGTCCTCTGCCCTGCATTGCTCCTGGAGGGTAACTCCACTGCTTAGATGGATATTTTTTCATGGAGCCCAAAATTTTCTGTCCCCTGTTCCCTCTCCCTGTGGCAGCTGAGGCACCCAAGGCAAATATTTAGGGAAAGGAAGGTACCACGAGGCAGGTACATCTTGTTGCTTCAGTTTTGGGCCCCTTCCTCCTCCCTTCCCCTTCCCTTTCCTCTGGGCCTGCCCAACCTGCTGGGGGGTCCACAGTGGTGGGACCCCCCTGGCTCCTGCTCTTCCCACCTGGACTGTGGGTGCTGGGCTCCTGCAAGCAGGTTTTGGGGGGGCTGGTGGGTGCAGGGAGGGTGGCTGCTCTGCTGGGAGCCTTGAGGTGGAGTGGGGTTGGGACAGGTGAGGTGGAAAAGCCAGAGGAGGAAGGACAGTGTGTGGGGATGCTGGGAATGTGGGCTCTGCTCCTTGCCAGTGCCCAGAGGGAGCTGCTGCCTCTCCTGCATCCGTTTGGGTGTAGCTGTGGTGGTTTCAGGGCAGATCATTGGTCCCTGAACCAGCAGGATCAGTCACAGGGGGTTTGGGCAGGATTTGGTCTCCTCTGTGAAGGGGATGATGTTGAAGTGTGGCCTGTGAGTTGTGTTGCAGCCGGGAATGCCTGGGCGATGCTGAAGGATCCTCATCCTCTGGAAGGATGTCCTGTGGTGTCCAGGCAGGGGGGCTGGCATGTCTTTTCTGTGTTGGCATCTGTCCCACAGGAGGGCTCCTCCTCAGCACGTGGATTTGGGGATGTGTTTGGACCAGTGAGGGGTCCAAGGACTTGGAGATGTGGGACCACCCCGCTCTGTGAGAGGCTGTTTGAGGTCTCCACTGAGCCCAGAGCCTCCTTTCCTCTGGGGTGGAATTTTCCTTTCCCTCTGTGGCTGCAGAAAAGGCTCAGGTTAATATTCTGGCTTGTTATCTCCTTAATGCAAATGAAACAAGGGCCCAGAACCAGCACACAAAGCGTTGATTCTTCTGTTCAGCCGGGGGAAGCGAAGAAATAAATTTTCCTATTGTGAAAGAAATAGGCAGAGTTTTCCTGAACTTCT